TCTTATCGTGTATTAATACAGTATTTACGAATTTGCACACCTATTTTCCTAGCGATTTTCAATGTAAATTTGAGCTTGTTTTTAAGGTATCATTTGCACAATTAAAAATCTTTACTACAGTATCAAACCTATGTAAAGTACAGTATTCTGCACTGCATACTAAAGTACAGGTAGTCTAGTACAGAAATCAAGCCTAGTCTGTACCAACTAGCCAGTATTTTTTAAAGTATTTTTTTATAGAGATCTTTTTGTGTTAATTATTTGTACATCTAAAAAAAATAATCTTGTTTCCATTTTAGTGATATTTATGTTTTGACCTGAAGGCATTCTCTCACCATGGCACCAATAGAAAGCAACCAATCAGAGATGAATGTCATGCCAATGGGAGCTGTTGGTGGATTCTCCCAGCATGCAACAGCGCAGAATGTTTCGTTAGCTTACCTGTTGGACTGTTTAATCCAAAGAACGTACCATGATCTAATAGTTCTTTCCGAATTGTAAGTATTGTTTTTTACTGTATGTATCATTTCTGAATTATATTTAAAGTGAAAGGTTACATTTCTTATATTGTCCGTCTTGAGCTAATGAACTTTTGATATTTAAATTGCTTAAGCCTTGTCCAAACCAAAGGTTAAACCAAAGGTCACGGTAAGTACTAAAGATATTGAACACAGGTATAACCCCCCTCCCCCTCAATCATTTTCATTCCCAACTTGATATTGAAGGCAAACTTTGAGCATGTGACAAGAGGTTTAATTGAATTTTCAACATGATTTTGTGGCAATTAATTATTAGATATAATTATAATGCTCATTAATATGCAAGTTGTTATTCGCCATATTCAAATTCATCATGCATATTAATGCATGATGAATTTGGATATGCATTAATACAGTATGCATGATGAATTTGAATATGGAGAATAACAACAATTACGCATTACATCCTTTCTTCATCTACAGACTTCCACGAAAAATGGACATGGAAAAGTAAGTATTATTTTTGGTTGGTGCATCCTAGTTGTATTAATTCTTTTGTGTCTATCACAAAGTACATTTGCCAATTATATGGTAAATCATTGCTCTGTTAATTAAACACCTGTTTTGTTGACTTTTTTTGGGTCATTTCTAGCCGCAATCTTAGTAAGACAAATTTAGGTATATTATGGAATTTGAAGCCCTTGGATTGGACGTCTATATCACAAAGATACAACTCCACTCTTTATTAGTAGAAACTGAAGTATAAATTTCATGGTACTGTATGATTATTGAAGTTAATTATTCTTTTCAAGTTTTAGTGTTGGAGATACAATTCTACATATTAGGGTAATCCATTATATAATTATTACTTTCACTATATAGGAAGATTGAGATTGTAAAGTTTGCCAGCAAAACTCGTCAGTCATTTATCCGACTTCTGGCTTTGGTCAAATGGGCAAGCAGTGCAGCCAAAGTGGACAAGTGTGCGGTATGTGGAAAGACATAAAACCATGTTAATAATTGAAAAAATTAAAAATAATGTGTAGCCTCAGAAAGGATAGACTCAGGCCTGGAAAAAATATTTTTGTGCCTCCAACCAAGAAAATTATTTTGATCAAATACCTCCAGCACCAAATGTTATCTTTACACTACTATAGCTAAACAGTAGTACATTTAGTGGTTTAGAGCAAGCATAAATAACAAATTTAATCACCAGTATGCAGTAAATTATGATGTGTAACAAAAAAAAAAATGTTGGTGTCTGGATCTCCATGCTTTGAACATATCACACCCACTCTCCGACAGCTCCATTGGCTGCCGATCTATCAACACATTATTTTTAAAATGATGATTTATACTTACAAAGCACTGAAAAATACATCACCAACTTACATCTCCGATCTGATCAAACTTCGATCAAGCACATGCACACGGTCTCTGAGGTCAACGACAAGCTCGTCAATTCTGCTTGTACCTCCTTGCAGACTGAAAACGTATGGTGAAAGAGCCTTTGCTGTTGCTGCTCCAAAATTATGGAATGATGTACCTGTACATATACGTGAATCACCATCTCTTACTCTTTTTTAAAAAAAAAAACTGAAATCACTTCTCTTTGACTCCTCCTGAGCGGATCGTTTTCCAGGTGTTGTTAGGGAGTGGGTTGGCATGGTGATCCTGTGAATTATGTTCCTGCGGGGTCGATCGGCTGGCCCTCAAAGTGCGGAAGATCGGCACACAGACTCTGTGGCTTGGTCTCACACCCACTTCGCTTGCTTGCTTCACTTCATTGTTTTGTGTTTTTTATTGCCGCATAGAGACAGCTGTATTATGCACCTTATAATTGATTGAATGATATCCCAGTGTTCTGGGTTCAGCAGGACTTAGGGTGCGTGCGAGGTCCGTGTATTTACACGGAAGTTAAATGCCGTGTGTGGCTCGAACGGGGGTAAGATGTAAAAAACATCTGGAACACGCTCGCCTATTTTGACCACCAAATTTAGGGTTATAGAACCGTGTATCGC